CTTTCGCGGTCCGATGCCGTGTTCCTGACAGATCTTCTGCAGCCTCTGCTCCACAAACAATTTGTCGGTCAGGAAGGACTTATAGAGTTCCTGCTCAGTGCCGAACAGATATATAGAGAAGAGAGATAAGAGAGAGAGAGAGAGAGAGGCATAGGCAGTCTTATGGACAAGCTTGCGGTGCCGTATGATGGCATGGGGGAGTGATCGCTCCATATATGAATCTCAGCAGCATTTATAATGCCTTGCCGTTGAGTACTGAAAGTCGTTATATTACAATTATAATTAGATCTAGAAAAGAGGCCATGGGCTGCAGGATTCTCCTCTAAAGATGTACAAAACCACCAGCAAGAAGCTTTACCGAAAAAAGCCATTTTTGGGATACGGGTAAAACGAGGCGGTTGCGTCATAAAAGTAACAGGCTTGTTAAATGAGGCGGTTGACGTGCAGGGCTATCTCTCTTTTCCTCCCGTCAGTCCCGCCAAACGTTCCATCATCAGAGCCGCCGGACGTTCATCGGACGTAAATCCGGTGAACTCGGGTCTCATCGCGAAGGGCCCCTTGCACAGAAATCCTAAAGACAGCTGGGCACGGGAGGCGGGAAAGACCGTCCGGAACAAGGACAGGGAGCCAAGAAACACCAAGCAGAATGCGCCTTTGGTCGAGAACAATCATGCAGGGACCAGGACCCGGGCTTCTCTCGCGAGGTGCATGTTGAGTCACAACCAGTGCAGCCAGGTTGCGGATTTGTGGCACCGGTGACACCGTCGTCATGAGCGTCTGGTCATAATCCAGTGCCTCAGGCCTCAGCCAAGGCCGGTCGAGGGACCGACAGTCTCGGCGATAGGAAAGGCGAAAGAGCCTTCATCGGTCAGAATCCTGACCGCAGGGTCAAAGCCGAACGGGAGGATAGCACCAGGACGCCAAACCTCAGGTCTGCGCACTGCGCAACATATCTTGCACGGAGGCAAATCGTGCGGGGACGCCTTGATTGACAAATGAAACCAAAGCGCCAACATCGAGTCGCACTGACGCGCCAGGCGAGAGAGGTCCGCGAGATGACGGCACCCAAGCATCGGTGTCAGGCCAAAAGGCGATGCCAGCAGCATCAAGAAGTGCTTCCCGCGTGATGGGCACGGGCGCATGTCCAGCAAACAATCTCCCCATGAGGGCCCTGCAGTCAAAAACGACCTCAATGACATCCCGGCGCTATCCCGGAGCACCGAGCAGAACCGCATAGTGTTCATCGGGTTGTGGTACAGCCGCGGCGAGGCAGGGGAAGCAGTTCTCGAGATCCGGCACGCGTACCGATTGAACCTCCCTCAACGCTAAATGGAGATCAACAGGTGCCTTCATGGCTAACGGGATCACGTCAGGTCTGTAGCCCTCGCTTAGAACCACAAACAAGGTGCGCAGGAACACCGGCTGGGCAGCAATAGGCTCGCGCAGCGGAACCTGGAAAAAGAGTGGCGGTGTTCGCCTGCCAGGTGACCTGTCACCGATGTCCCTGATAGCAAGTCTCTCGGTGGGTTCACCTCCAGCCGCGGTACCAGACGAAGCCTCGCGCAACGACGGAAACTCAGCCAATTTCCCGGTAACGAAAGGGTCTCATGTGAGGAGGGTGTACAGAGATTTTGTACAGGTTTTTCGCCTGCCGGTTCTGCCGCACCTTCTTTGCCCAGCTCCTCGTCCTGCCTCCTTTGTGCACGTTCTTTTCGGTCGCCTGGATTTTCTTCATCCTCGGCCTGTCATTCCTCTCCTGGGCTTTACGAAAGGTTTGACTCATGCCATGGTTTCGCGCGGTTCTGTTTCCGTGCGTCTTGCCTTCCAGCCCTCTGGCCCATGCGTGCTTCACGCGGGATCCGACTCATTTGGTCGCGCCGCGGTGCCTGCCACGTTTGCCAAGCTCGCACCAGGTTTTACCCTTCTCTGCTTCCCCGTCAGGTTTAGGTTTCGGAGCGTAAGAGGAACATCGGTGGCTCAGGGGTTCCCTCCGATTCCTCTGCCTTTGGGGTTTAGCTCCCTCCCTTGTTGCAGGGCCCTCCCTTTTGGGTGCTCAGGGTTAGGCCTTCATAGGCTGAAATTTTTTCTGTGGAGGGCTCTCCAATCCCTCCAGTGCAGGTCCCGTTGACAGGTCCTCCACGTTAGGTTCGGGAAGGTCGTCACAAGGACCCGAACCTTCCTGGCCTAGCCGATTTTTCCAAGAGTTCGCATTCCGGAGCCTAAGAAAGACATCGGTGGCTCAGGGGTCTCCTCCGGTCTGCACTCGTGTCGCTGGCCTCAGCCAACACACGGGTGATGACGTCTTTGCCCTCCTGACGCATATTGGGGGGGTACGGTGGCAACAAAAATTTCCTGCGCATGGGAGCACTTTTGATGTTGTCTTTGTGGCGCGTGCTACTCAGCACTTCCGGGTCACAGGTCCCCTCTTGGGTTTTTGTGAGTTTTCCTTGCTCTGATGCACCGCCAGCTCTTGCACTCCCATTGGGAAGTATAGGCCCTAAGTATAGGCATAACAAGATCCAGCCTCGCTCCGCATCCTGCTGACATACGTCGGAGGCCTGGAGGCAAGAAGGTAGGTTGTCCCTGTTCAGGATTTGCTTGGCGTTTTTGGCTTATGGGGATGTGGTCGTTGCCTTACCAAGTCTGGGCTGCACCTAAGCCCCATGCCGAGGCCACCACACAGGCATATGCAGCCCTCGCTCCTTTGCGCACTTCCTTCTGCTGAGGCTAGCGAAGGATGCACCGCCCTCGAGCCAAGGAGTCGGGGACTCGTGGTGGCAGATGGTTGCCGAAGTCCAGGCTGAGGCCCAGCGCGAAGCCTATCCTCCTGAGGATTTGTCAGGCTTATCTCTTGCTGCGCCAGCCACCGCACCTGCTCCCAATGCTTCTTTCAGCAATCAGGATGACGCAGCTCCGGCAAGCTCAGGCACTTCAGGTGTTTGCAAGCGCGAGCTATTCAGGTGCCGGGGATATTGGTCTTTGCGCGCATTGTGTTATGCACTTCAGGAAACCGCATCATGTCTTCTGATGCGCCTCTCTTCACCTTCCCGCTGAAGTCGACACCCTGCTTGCGGCCGTGCGGCAAGCCGGGCCAACTCCGCTTGATGCATGTTGGAACAGTGTTGTCCCGGCCAGACCCCAACTTGGCGGGCCGCCTGGTTCGAGGAAGCAGGCCTTGCGGCTATCCTCATCGTCCTCCAGGATCTGGATCTTCTTCCGTGAGGCCAGTGCAGCCTGGGCGTCTGCAAAAGTGACCCCAGCACTCGAGACGCTCGTCTTCCCAGACGGATGCCGCAAGGCTCCAGGGCTCTTCTTCGAAGGACATGGTCCTGTAAGGTCGGGCTGGGATCATGACCACCAGGGGCCACAGGGTCCTCGGAGTTGCTAAACTGTTGTTGCAGAAGCAGTACAAGGTGGTACTGGTGTCAAGCCAGGCGGTCCTGCAGAAGTCCTGGCATAAGGATCGGCAGCCGCAGGCGGTGCAGCAGCCGCCACATGAACACATCCAAACCCAGGAGAGGCGGTGGAGTCCGAGGCGCAGCATTCGTCGGCCGAGCCGGCGTGACATCGGCAGCTAGCGCCCTCCGTAGCACTCCCAGGTTGCTGTGTTCTTCGGCTTGCACCCAGGAGGCAAAAACACTCTCCACAGGTGGCACGTCCACGTCTTTCTCGCGATCTCCGTCGGTACTGTTGAACCCATCATGCGTAACGCTGCTCTTGCTTCCGCCTGTTCTTGTTCTGCTTCGGAGATTTCACGAAGAAGTCGTTCGGAGTCCTTGGTGCTCCCCGGTCTCGTCCCATGGTTCGGAGTCGTCGTTGCTGTACCTTGGTCCATTGGTAGTCGCGTGATGCGACTGAAGGGCAGCTCGAAGCTGCCAAGGCAGCGGGATACCAAGACGGTAAAGTCCCCTGGCAGCAGACCGTTTGGATCGCAGGCGCCGGTGCCAGTTCGGTGACCCCTTGTGCAGACCGATGGCGGCAGAGGGGTAAGGCGCACTCCCTTGAGTGCCTGGGGCTAGAGTCTTCCTCACGGCTATCTCGTGTACATACATACATACATACATACATACATAGATAGAGGTACATAGAGATACATAGAGATACATAGAGATACATAGAGATACATAGAGATACATAGAGATACATAGAGATACATAGAGATACATAGAGATACATAGATACATAGAGATACATAGATACATACATACATACATACATACATACATACATACAGAGATAGATAGAGATAGATAGATAGATACATACATACATACATACACACTTTCACTGTCCACGTGGCAGAATCAAAACTCTGCTCGCGAAAGCTGGAGGACAGGCACTTTGCCCCGGCAGAGCTGCACCCTATGTGCGTCTGTGCAACACATGACCTCGGCACGCATACCATCGCATACCCAAAAGCGGGACCGTCATTAATGCTTGTTACAAAGACAGATGTACATGTCCTGGCAAAGACCATCAATGCAACGCTCAGGGGCCTCACACACAAGATTTCTGTTATCAGCAAAATAAACGATCTTAGGATGAATGTGATCATACAGCAAGCAGTGACCTTGTGTTGGGGTTTCGCCGACATGGACGACTGCAGAATAAAGCTCATGCAGAACATTACGAGTATTAAGGCTTTAAAGGAAAGCGGGAATCGCAAGGAAAGTGCTGGAGACAAGACGATACCTGCACTTCTTAGCAAGATTGCCTTCGGCATCATAGTTGAACCGTCCAGCCTGCAAAACTAGACCCATTGGCGGGAATTTAGAAACAGTCCTACCAACAAAGCGCACGCATGCAAACACAGGAACGGGCATGCACGCGGGCTCGCGCGCACATGCCCCGACACGCACCATAAAAGCGCCCGCTACCGTAAGATTGGCAGGCGGCGTGCCTTCTTGCAACGTCTGGGCCTGACTTCCTTGGGGCCTGCATTTGATGCCGACCGCGCATCTGCGAACAATTGAAACCAAAAGGCTTTAGCACAAACTCAGGATACAGCTGCTACCTGCCCACGGATTTCGTTCAGGGGCTAGGCGGCAGCTCGTATCACATCCCCTAAGTCCGCCTGAGTCACTCTATAGAGGCACCCTGGCACCGCTGGCGACTCTTGAGGCGCGTGTCGGTTGCTGGGATGCAGGCACTTTTTGGCGGGGGCGCAGAGACTCCCCGAGGTTCCGGACTTTGACTCCCAGCTGCCGGAAATTGACGTGGCCTCGGTCGAGGCGCGCCCCCCCGCGAAGTAAGCGCGGCACCCGCCAAAAAGAGCAAAAGAGCGAGCGGAAGCCCCGGCGGAAGCGCGGCCCCGGGGGGGGGGGGCGGGGGTGGGCCTCGCGCATGCTCGCTCGGGCGCAGCGCCAGGGGCCGTCTGGCCAAGCCATGCAGGAGGCGTCAGGTGCGAAGTCTGCAGAGCGACTCGGAAGTTTAAGTCGCTTTTCCCAGTGGACTCGCCCTTTGCAGGACCGGCAGCGGCTGCTTCCTCTTCGCCCCGGCCCTTTTGCGGAACTCGGCTCACCTCTGGACCTCCTTTTATACGCGTTCGAGGTTGTCCGTGAACGCGTCGAGCGGTCAGCCACCCAGTAGGCAGGAACGGAAGGCTGAGAAGCGAAGTGAATCTGCAGGGGCCGTGGGCGTGGGCGCGTCCGAGCCTCCCGCGGAACCCAAAGCGGTGGCCAAAGATCCCCCGGAGACGGAGGAAGCTGCCAGCACCAAGGAGAGTGGTTTAGGCAGCCAGAATTCCAGCTCCATGTGAGAAGCGAAGGAGGATGATGCTGTGGCCAGCTCACAGAGCAGAATCGCAGAGCTTGAGGCCGGGATTTCAAGAGAAGCTATGTCCCTTCAAGATTTGTTATGGCCACGAAGATGCCTATTCAGAGCGAGAGAGAGAGCGAGAGAGAGAGAGAGAGAGAAAGAAAGAAAGAAAGAAAGAAAGAAAGAAAGAAAGAAAGAAAGAAAGAAAGCTTGTTTCCAGGGTTTTCCATGGGATGCCTGATCTGTAATTGGATGAAAGAGCAGCAAGAGAGCGACACGTTTGTGCGACGAAATCGGCTTTGCGGCTGTGCCACGGCTGATACTGGGTCTGGGCAACCCAACGTACTTGCATCAGAATAGCAAGGCGAGGTTTCCAAACCCAACAAGTGAGATCATGTATCGAGTTCTTGATGTACATGATGGCAGGGGCTAGAACCCTTGCATTCTCTTTCAGCGCCGTGTCATGGATTCCAAGCAAGTGGGCTAGCTTTAGCTTCCCGCGTTTTACAGTCAATCACACGCTCGGTTTTCTGCGCTGCCGAATGCCCCTATTGGAAGGCCCCATTCTGATGGAGTGAATGTTGCTGTTTGCGTGATTTTCCTCGTGATTAGGAAGCATGTGTACCTTGAACTGGCTCTCCCTTATAAGCACCGTGGACTCCTTGTTTGCTTAGTTTGGCAGTTCTTCGCTCCTCTGCATGATGGCTGGCTTGTGATTGGTGTCCAATCATCATGCGATTCCTTTGAGCGGTAGAGCGCAGCTGATCGACATATCCGGATGGCATGCCCCCCCCCCACACCACCTCCTCCGCTAGTGCCAAAAGCACCTTAGTTGTGCCATCGGCACAGCACTTGCCTCATCACAAATGTGAGTGTGGATAACTGATAACAGTATTTGTTCCGTGCTTCGGATTGTGCAATTACTTCCAAGATCAGAGAGGAGTTCGGAATTCGTTTGCAGTGTATGTTTGCAGCAAAGCAAATGAACGTGGGTATGCAGACGCCCCGGCACAACAGCAGAATCATGCAATATCTCTTCTTTTCGCAACAGGGGGCATTGAACTCTTACTTGTTTGTGAATTCATGTATCCATCATCGTCGTACATTGTTGCATCCTGTGATCGTCTATCACAACGATTGACATGATAACAGGTCAAGCCCAAACTCCATGGCAACTTTGCAGTCTTGGAATTGCTCTTTCGGAATGCAGCGTTGTTCTTCAACCTTACGGCGTCCAATCTTTCAGGTACACTCTTGAAGATGTTCACAAGTCCCTATTTGGGCGTGTTTGTCTGTCGGTCTGGCTGGCTGGTTGTCTGACAGCATTGTGCATTGTACATGCGGGGAAGACATCACATGCAAGAGATGTTCCAGGGGCGGTTGCCCTCCGACACGTAGTTGGCACACCCGAAGGGCTTCGGTTTCTTTGTTTTGGGCGAAGTGTGACCTGAGATTGGTCTCGTGTCTTCAAGACTTGCAGCTTGAAGAGCCAAAGCTTTCTTGCAGGCATGCAACAAGGCTTTGCAAGAGCAGCTCGCAAGCTTGCAGCAGGACTAGCTTACCGTTCTGTGTTTGTGCATCAGGGATTCTGTGTTAGCAATGACATGGTGATGAGGCTGCACTACCCAGTCCAGATGTTGCCTGTCAGGAGCAAGCCACAAGGGCAGCACCTGAAGCAGAGAATTTTCAAACGTAGTTTAGACCCCCCGAGGTGTCCGCTCTGCTTCAACAGCCGCTTATCTATGAACCCGTGTGCTGCTAAACGTTCACTTCTGTGTTGTTGTTTGCACTCGAGCTCTTGAAGTGGAGGTTGCTGTCAAGACATCCAGCCGAATTTCAATGTTCTTGGCAGGGGATTTGTAGCCAGGGCTGCATGTGTACAGTAGCAGCGCAGCTACTCTTCTACTTCGGACGTGCGCGCGCTTGCACTCGCTTGCACAAGCTGCTAGAAGCCTGGAGGTCATCTTGAGTCGACTCCCAGCAATGGGCACCGCTGCACATTCCGGATGTAGGGACTTCGACTCATGGTGCAGGCAATTCCTAGGCCAGGTCCATCTTCCCACTTTGGCCTGGGACGAAAGGGAAAGAAGCCTTGGAAAAAGGGACAGGGGGCTCTGCGAGAGACTGTGCAATGCACGCAGCGGCAGGGTCGTTTAGAAGCATGTCGATCCTGCAGAGGGAAGGCTTAAGTTTAGGGCATTTCGGGCACTAGACGAATAACACGATGCCACTCGTGAGCTTCACAAAATGGACATGCTGAAGGTTACTGACACTTGTCGCAGAAGGGTGGGCTGCAAGTGTTAGATTGCCCTTGACCAGCCATGATGATGCAGGCCATCAGAGACCCTTTCTTGGTTGTGATCCGCCACTGAGCACAAACTCCGTAAACTTTTGCATTGGAAGGTGTCGATTGCCTTGGCTCATTCACTGCAACTGCAGTGACCTGCCAGCCTGCAGGCGTTCCGGCGGCTGCGTGGAGAGGGCAGCTTGGAGGCCCTGGAAGCATTGCACCGGACGCGGCCTCCGCGAGACCGTTTGCGAGTCGCGGGCAAGGCTGACCTCCGCCAGATCTCGGAAAGTTTGTGCCCGAGCGAGTCCTCACAGCCGCGCAGTTGGGCTCATGGAAGCTGAGGCTACGTGGAGTCACCACCCAAGGAGGTCCTCGCCAGAGTCATGCAGGCGATTGCAACCTGGCCCGGCTCTCCTTCCAACACGGATGCCACATGCCACGTGAAGGCATCAGAATACGCAGAGGAGCGAAAGCGAATCGTTCTCCACATGCAGGCGGAGGGGATGGACAAACTTCAGCATTCCAAGACAGGGTCATGTGCAGGCTTGCTTGGCCGACATGCGCTGGCGCCCAATCCTCTCAGGCCGCAAAGAAGAGCGAGAGAGAACGGACCAGCCCGTAAAGAAGAAATAGAAGAAGAAAAAAAGGCAAGACCTTGTGCCAGCGTACTTTGTGCTACAGTTGCTACAGGCTCGACATGGAAGGAAGGAAGGGTATGGGCGGGGTAGCGGTTGGGCGGGTGAAGGGAAGAGGGCATGATTCGACCCACATATTCTATCATCCTGTTGGGATGACAGCGGCACCAGTTGAGTTCCTAAGCTTAGTGCAGCGGCGATGACTACAGTGGGATCCCGCGGGACGACCCCATGAGAGGTCGGGGAGACACAGTGACGAGGTTGCCAGGGTGCGCATGGGACGAGGGGAGGCGCCATGTTTAGAGAAAGAGTGGGAAGCCGAAGAGAGAGCTTGCAAGCGGCAAGCGGCCGACACGAAGCGGAGAAGATCGGAGGAATGTCCTTGCTCTCGGAATTATTGCAGCGGGGATGCCACCGGCTTTTTGCACGGCTCTCAGAGCGCGCGGGGCGGCGAGTCCAAGAGAGAGTCGCAGCAAAAGGAGGAGATGGCTCAGGGCTTCCACTTCGACCCACTTCAACGCCCGGCACTTTTCAGCGCTGGCCAAGAGCTGCCTTGGCAATCGCCGCTGCGCCGAGGTCTCAGCCTCCTGGAGCGCTTCCAGTGCCCCCTCTGGGCGGAGCGGAGGGCCCGCCCCCCGTCTCCCGCGGCGCCCGCGGCCCGCCGGCGCTTGGAGGTACGGCGAGGACCTGCGGGTGCAGAAGCTGATTCGGCAGAAGGCAAGGGACCGCCCCCGGCTGCTGTATACCGTGCAAGCCGAGCAAACCCCACAAGCTGTCTTCGGAAGGAGGGAGCGCGATACTTGAAGAAATCTACCGTGACAGCCGTGCAGCGGATGCGCTGTTTGATGGCATGCGGGCCTGCGCAGCACAGCCTTTACCAGGCCTCCAATTTGCGCGAAGCTCTACTTGAGAAATTGGCCTCCAGCTGGGAGCTTGGGGAGCTGCACAGACGACCCATGACTCTGGAGACCCGGTCCCCTAGTCCCCCTAGTCGCCAAGGCACAGACATGACACCAGTGGAGGAGTTGAGGGGATTCTCAAATGCCGATGTCTTGGTCAAGCCAACACAGCGAAGGCGAGCGAAACCGGAAACCCAAGCACCCCAGGGCCTCAGGGTGCTGCCAGTGCAGGCAAGGGCCAATCAATGGTGTAGCAGTCGCGATCCCGGAGAGTGTCACTCACCTGGCGGAATGTGTGTTTGATGAACGTGCCTGCAGTTGATCGGGCACACTGCCGATACCGACGACGAAACCAGCGATGGTGAGACCGGAGCTTACAAAAAAGCATCGAGTTCTCAGGCTGGCAGCCCTTTCTGCCTGCTCAGGTTCTCGCCCCACGGCTTGCAGCATGCGGCATCGACGGTGACTGGGACAGAGAAAAGGCGAAAGGACAGGGCAGAAGAGCCTTGAGCTTTGGCTGAGGTTTCGACAGAGTCCTGCGGGGACGGGGATCTCCGCTGCGTGCTCGAAGGCCGGAGAGCTGTGCCGGTGGCTCTAGGTCACGGAAACGAACAGCTACGCACGTGGAGTGGACCAAATCAAGACAATCGACTCGTGTCCACAGCATGAGAGCCCCTGTGGTAACAAAAACGTTTGGGAAGAAAGGCTCAAGGTTCGGACCCTATATGAAGTTGCGCTGCGGTTGGCCGGACGAAAAGAGGTTAGGTTAGGTTGGGGTTGGGCCCTTCTCCACATCCCTCCATTCCCCCGGGACTGCCGTAGTTGCGTGGAACAGGTGATGCTGACGTGGCCTCAGCCGATTTGTTGCATTGGACAAGGAGCGCCACTGCAGAGACACCACCTGGAGGTCAAAACTGGTCCGGGCAACACCGAGCTGGTGACGGACCTGCTAGACCTTTAGACCTCGCGTAAACGAGGGGCAGGCTGCCTGTCGGCACGCCTCGGCCTATACGCCCTTTTGAGGATGGCAGAAGTTTCCATCTCGGGCATCTGGGACAACAGTAGGCCATAGAGTGGGATTCCTCCGTGGTCCGCCCCCCCGGCCCGGCGATGGCTCTGTACAGAAGAGCTCTCTTCCAAGGGGACAAGCGGCGGGTCCGAGGCGGGTCCGAGGTGCATGCAACGAGAGTTGCACCTCGCAATTAGCTCGACAACGCTTCTTGGGCGACAGTCAAAAAGGGCAGCTGCAGTGTAGTGACTTAACGAAATGTGAGGTGAAGTCCTTCATCTGCACAGGAGGAGGATTGCTAGCTGTCTTCGAAGTTATCACGGCTCAAGTCCAAAATTAAGCACAACCGTTGATACACAACCGCAGCAAGCAGACTTCGGTCGGGATACACATCACCAGACATCCGACTCAACCCGAAGGCTCACGACGGGACTCAAGCGTTAGTTCCGCACCGGTTTCCATGGACCGTCACGAGTATGAGGAAGCTCACCTCTTAGACTCTCAGACTGTGTCCGGAACCATGCGACAAGCTGATGCTGCAAGCCTTCTAGCAAAACTGTGCACAGGTCATTGCCAACCAGCCCGTTGTGATCGTGGCCCTTGCCCTTTTCTGGGTTGGCTTTTCCCGCGTGCGTTCCCAGACGATGCCAGGACAATGGCTCTGGGGTCATCAAGGTGCACTAGGGAACCCGTAGAAGCTTGACAGTCACCATGAACTACGCACAGGCGGGGTTTGCCGGGGATGACTCCGCATCTTGCCCGCAAACGAACTTGGCGGCTGACTTCCTCACCCCGCATCACAGTGTCAAGCTCTTGCCAACACAAGGTCAAGCTGCTACATCCTTCCTTTGTTGGCAGGTGGCACCGTGCAAGCACTGTAAGTCCGCGCAATTGGCAGTACTTTGTGCAGTACTTGCTCGCTGCTGCCGCCAGGCCAAAGCATCAGCGAGTGATGGCTGGTGCCGCCGAGGGTGATAACGGAGACATATTTGTTGGCATCGGCCCCAGACAGGGCATCAACAAACCGAAGCGAATCTGCGCAGATCATAACGCAATTCACGCTCACCGGCATAGCCAGTCCACGCCAGCAGGCGAGCGCGCGGAAAAATTTCGCGGCATTCTGTCTCTCAAGTACCCCATGGAGCATGGCATCGTGCTGATCTCAGCTGTGCTTGCGTTCTCGGCATTTCTTCCACGTGCACATTGGATAGCATAATGTATCTTGAGTGAAGGAGGAAGCGTAACAGTCAGTCAGTGAGTTTCCGCTTCAACGTCCGTCTAGCCAAGCTCCAGAACTCGTGTAATCGGGAGATGGAATCCATGTACAAGCGCGTGTTATCCTTCCCATGTGACCCTGCGCCGCACTCTGAGTTTGGGCGAACTTCAACACAGGGTCATGCGTGCCGAATCTGTGTGTTGAATTTTCCCGTCCCAAAGATTGTGGCACCGCCTGCTCACCTAGTCCTGTTTTTCAGGCTTTGAGGTTTCACCCTTGTCGCAGCGGGCAGCAGAGCACGCAGTCTGTGCTTGCACGGGCCGCAGATGGCTACTCGAGTCTACGGATCTCTTGGCAGGTGCGTTGGTTCGTCTTGTAACTCAATTCCCGAGACGAGTGCAGCTTGATATCAGCATCCGAGTGACTGCTCGAGTCCGCTTCAAATGTGGCAGCTGTTGTGGCTATGTGTCCACTATATTTGGTGATTAGATGCCTAAGCCAGCAGAGCGCGCTGTGGGTGTTGGAAGCCCATTGAGGGATTGCTCCCCTTACGAGGTGCAGCACTGGGATGACATGGAACTCATTTGGCGCCATGTTTACTCCGAGATGAAAGCCTGGAGCTCAGTGACATCCAGCTGCCTTTGCTTGACAAACTCGCGGAACCAGGTGAATGCTGAGGAACATCCAGTTCTCCTCACCGAGGTTGGCGTGATGGGTGCCATTAACAGACAAGCACCATCATGCAGGCAACCGCTCGTGCATCTCAAAAGAAGATGATGCACCACTTCTAGAGCATTGTAATTTGCTGCTATCATGTTTGTACTCAACCACCATCATCTCCATCACCATGTCCTGATACATTGTTTTCGCAAAAGGCAAAACGGCGAAACAACGGTGTGAATAAGAGTGTGTTGGGCATACCCGCACAAGGCATGAACGCTTCTGACAGTGCATCTGGTTTCAGAAACATCATTCTGCAGTGTAAAAACGAATTGAAAAATTGCCGGAAATACCAGTGGTTTAAGCATGCTCGAAAAAGGCATGAACGCTTGTGACTGCGTGTTGTTCCAGAAAAGCCTCTGCTGTGTATTGTAAGCACTTGCAAAAATGCTATACTCCACCCATATAGATCTCGTCGGATCATCCGAAATGTCCTGGACTTTCATTGAAACTCGGGAACCTAACACGGCACCCTATGCACCCGCCGCCTTCTTCAAGTGCATGCAAGGGGAGTGCAACAGCTGTGTTCGAAGCTTCGAAAACCTCGTTGCTGCCGGTGTTGTTTGTCACTTGCTCTGTACTACAAGACAATGCACGAGAACAGTTTACATGTCGGACTATCCTTTGTCACGCTAAACACGATGTCGCATCTGAACTTGTGCATCAGCCTAGATGAGCGCCAGGAGCCCTCATCGTCGAGATCGTAGGTGGAGCTTTCGTTCGACCCTGTTCGCCCAAGAATTTCTGTAGTTGACATTCTAGCTACATCCCCAGCATTTGACAATCTTGCCATAACGCTTAGAACCAGCGGCACAACATATCGGAAACATGGAACAGGCCCCGCTCAATCCGCGGAAGAACCGTGAGAAAGTCGGTCGCCAAGGTTTATGTCTCAAGCTGCTACATTGGCTACTCAGATTTCCTTCCGGGAGCACATAGATGGAGTAACACCTTTTATTCCTTCTCTGAGGCAGCGGAGATCTTTTTCGAGACCTTCGGTTGCCCAGCGCTCTTCGTCTCTGCACAGGCATGTGGCGAGGGTAGCAGCCGCATTGCCTTCCCAAGCTCGTGGCACATACGCACCTCGAGAATCACAGCCAGGTATGTTCTGTATACGAATGGTCAGCTGTGGATATCGCCAATACAGCTTGAGCTTCTGACGACGACTGTCACGTGTGGGGAGACGGAAGATCTAGCAGCGCGGGCAATGCCTAAACATCTCAGCAGCCTCAAGGCCTAAAGCAAAGAAAAGCATTGCAAGTTCAGAGTTCGCAGAGGGGGAGAGAGAGAGAGAGAGAGGCCATTCTTTCTCTGTATGCGAGCGGAAGAACGACCGGGGCCAGCAACTTAGATTGGCAACCGGAGGCGCTCCGGCTGTGCAGTTAGAGTCACAGCGAGTGTCAGGTGGTCCTGGACTCCGGCGATGGCGTGACGCATGCCGTCCCTGTCTATGAAGGATTTGCCCTGCCACATGCGGCAGGGGCCCTACCGGGCTCCCGCTGAGTGGACCTGTCCGCCTCACCAAGAACTGGAGCAGGTGATGAGGTCCGATGTCGCAGGCCGTGACGTGCGAAGCACAGGACACTTTCTCCCACGATGGCCGTCACACCCAGCGTTGCAAGGTCACTGATCACTTGCTGCTCCAGTTGCGCCGCACTGGGCATGCCCACTCCTCAGCCAAGACGAGCGCTGCTCTCTCCTCTGACTGCCCGCTCGCGGAGCGTAGCTTAGGTTTTTCACACATCCGCGGAAAGGGAAGTGGTCCGTCAGATCAAGGAGAAGGCCTTGCGCGAAGAGAAGCCGGCGCCGTAGAAGGCAGAGTCGCACACAGGAGTGCTACGTTGCACTGAATCCGCAGAAAGAGGAGCAAGCTCCGGCCCCTTTCAGAGAAGGAGAAGGCTTCCAAGATCTGCTGAGCTGAGGGAGAGCACGACAAGGCTTCCATGCAGCACCAATACAAGCTGCCGGGAGCCCCAGAGCAAGAGCTTCGAGGAGAGAGCGAGGAGAGAGGCCCCCCCCCCCCTCCTCTTTCGCTCGCCCTCTCAGGCCGGATGGCTCCGTGATCCACTTGGGTGCAGAGAGGCGCCAGCGGGGGCGGGCACTGGCGGGCACGCTCCGGCCCGGGGGGCGGTTCTTTTTCCCTTCCTCGGCAGGTTTCGAGCGCCAGAGATCCTGTTTCATCCCGACCCGATTGGCCTGGAATACCCAGGCTCGTTCGGAGACCTTCGTTCGGAGACCTCGTTCGGAGTTTTGCTGGCAAAGCTTCGGCAACGAGAGGCATCCACGAATTGCTCGCCACCTCCATCAACAGAGCCGACCTCGATCTGCGGATGACGCTCTTCTCCCAGGCATCGTACCCGCCGCCTCGCTTCTCAGGGTTACGCCTAGCTGAGGTCGTTGTTGGGGGCTTGTGCATCCAGCAGCGAGCTGGCTGGCAGAGAGTGCGTACGAGTAAGGCTTACAGCCCCTGGCAGCAGGATGCGACAGCAGGGTTTGACGGGCCTGCAACGCTCTGGGGCTCTTTCGTGGCGATCAGGTCGCTGAGCGCTAGAAGTGCGCGTACCGGGGGTGGGGGTGCCCCGGTGCGGTGCACATTGTTTCGACTATATAGTCGCGTTCTCGAAGCAGTCCCTCTCGCCCCTGTAAATCCAACGCGCTCTCGTGCTTGCTGAATCGCAATTACCCGAATCCCGTGTTCATTCAGCGTGTTTTGACCTCTGCCTAAATGCCATGCTCTTTCCGCGGAATTATGCGACACTCTTCCGAGGTAGTATACTATGCCTCGATTGAAGCTGAGGCGATGCTAGGCCACAGTCTGTAAGAATACCCTGCATCGGTGTTTCAATGTGCATATTCTGATACGGAAGCCAGATCACGTTTGTTTTCAGCTTCCTGAGAGGGCCAACACGAGAAGAGAGGCAGAGGCAGAGGCTGCGGAGTTTCAAAACCGGCGAGAGCCACTCAGAAAAGCTCCTGAAGGCTTTCTCAAGGCTGTACTCGTCACAGGGGACGCGCACCGGATGGGAACAGGACTTCGTCTCTCGCCTCCAAAATGCTAAGCGCGAGGTCCTCTCTCCGTAGACGTCTCAGCATTTTCACGGTGAGCCACTCTCAGACTCAACCCCAAAGCAGCCCAAGCTGGAAATGCTCGTCACCAGGCGGCTACTTGATAGTGCAAATGCTTGGAGGGGCCTATTCCTCAACAGCAGACAACATGTACATGCAAACATGTGCGTATGGTTCTTTTCTCTTGCGTTCTCAGTTGGTGGTGCGTTAGTGCTTCGCAAGCCCTTTTGTGCGGCAGATCGTCCTATCGGGGGGGTCCACGATGTTCGAGAAGTTCGGTGACAGGTCCTGTGCTTATTGGGCATGAACCTGTGAAGTGAGAGCAACCTTGGTTTCTGAGGCTTTTAAGCGAGGTGAAGAAACTTGCACCGAAGGACTCAACGGCGTTACATTCGTGGCTGTGTGCACACCTTGTCAATCTGCCTGCACAGCTACATGATGTCTGAGGACATCAAAATACGCATTATTGCACCACCAGAGCGAAAGCTCTCGACGTGGATAGGCCGGCTGTGATTTTTCCGAACTTGTAGTTGCATAGCAACTGGGTGATTCTCGACTTCAGGTGGTTCAATCCTGGCATCCCTAGCAACATTCAAGAAGCCTGGAACTCAGTGCCAATCTTGACTACAGATGATCGGCGGCCTCTCGGAAGGATGTGGGTTACTAAAGAAGAGTTCAAAGAAGATGGGTACTCCATTCTGCCAGGGCCTCGACTGGGCCTTGATTCAACTGCCAACCAGAGTGCTGCTGCTCAGGCATAAGAAAGCTTTCTGATTGCCGGTCCGCTAATGCTGAACTTTCTGTGCCTGCATACTCCAGAGCAGACCGCTCAGCATGCAGAACCCCGCAAGTGCACAAAGTGGCAATTGCTGCAAATGTATCAGCCGTCGCCTCCGGTGAAAGCCGTCAGCACCACAGAGTGCGATGCTGCCTTCTGGAGAGAGGTACTTGGCTCCATTGCTTTGAGTCAGTTGCAGAGTGCAACTCAGACATGTACGTAGACGACTTGTGGGTTCAGTCAGAGGAGGCGTAGGAGGACGACAAAGGAAGCTCTTTACTCAGGTCGGCCTGCTTTTGCACAATACCTGAACTGATCACAGGTGTCACATACTGTGCATCTCTCAGATCACAGGATTTCAGGATAGTCCATATGCTGGTCCACTGAATGGTCCCTTGATGCATGCGCCTTGCTTGACCTTGCTCTCAAGCTCCATGTGTTGAAATCCTGGGGAAGATCAACCAAACATTGGCTCGCTGGTCACCCTAGTCACCAGCTGACGTGCTACTCAGTGGCTTTGGCGGTAGGTCAGCTGCTTCTGTTTAAGGGAGATGGAGGTGTGCCCGACGCAGATGCCGCACTCAAGGCTAGGTCTTGATCTGCCCTGGTGAGCACATGTTGGCATCTGCTTCCCGTGGCCTGGTCAAGAATGCCAGAATGCCCAAAGCGCTCTCTGAGCTTAACAGCTATATAGCAGCAGCTAGGAGGCAGCTAAGGTTGTGCTTTGAGTCACTTTGAGTCTTTGAGGTTCCTTGGTGGTCCTGGAGTGCGATGGTTCCGATGGATCGAGCAGCCCACAAGTAGGCGACGAGCCGACGGGGCCCATAGTCCACTCGGAGCTGGCCTTGGAGGGCGTCGCCAAAGGCCTGGCCTGGGACACCGTGGGAAAGCGCGTGGTGGTCGCCGTGGCCGGCGTGGGCACTGGCGCGGGCACCGAAGCGGACCGGCTCTGCCTCTGCGAGACCCTAGGAGCGCCCCCCCGCCCCCGCTAGGCTGAGCTCACTCTAGACTCGTTGGAGTCTTAGTGTGTCATTCGGTTTCCCCTCGAGGAGACGAGTCGCTGGTGGAGTACGTCTCCCTCCCTGCGGGGGCAGAAGCGACGGGCTTGAGCTTCTACGCAGAGGAGAAGCGGAAGGCTTGGGTGGCCGTGTCCTGCACGGATGGCGCCGTGAGGCTCATCGACGCAAGCCCCGAGAGGACACAGAGGGGGGGCGGGCCCGAGCGCGCGTGTGTGTGTGTGTGTGTGTTTGTGTGTGTGTTTGTGTGTGTTTGTGTGTGTTTGTGTGTGTGTGTGTGTGTGTTTGTGTTTTTGTGTGTGTGTTTTTGTGT